TTAATGTAAACTATTAGACAAACTTATAAAATATGTTGATAATGGAGGCATTCATTCCCAAAAAAAGCGCTGTTATTAATTGTAGTTTTAATGACTGTTCTTTAACAGTTTTATTGTTATATTATTAAATTTAAAATTATTGCTTATTTAAAACGATCGCAAAAGTTAAAGTATGTTCGATTGATTACTGCAAATGCAGTGGACACCAAAAAGCATCTTTTTCCTGTGTTCCTTTTAACAAAACAAATATGAATATATGTAAATATTGGTGAAAATTATTTGTTTAAATTTTATTTTAATTTGATCGGACAATGTCCGACCAAAATAACATTTGGTCGGACATTTTGTTCAGGACCTTATAAAAAATTAAATTAAGCCCTGTATATATATATATATATATATATATATATATATATATATATATATATATATATATATATATATATATATATATATATATATATATAATATATATATATATATATATATATATATATATATATATATATATATATATATATATATATATATATATATATATATGTTTATATATATATGTTTATAATTTTTTTTACTTGTTTTATTATTACTTTGTTGTAGAAGCCAGCCAAAATCATGACACTATTATAGACATTTTGTGATTATTAGAGTTTGCAGGCAGAGAAAAAATAGGAAGTATGATGCGGTTTTTTTTTTTATATTTAGTTCTTATGGTTCAATAGAATTGTTTGTTTTATGTTTAATTTACAGTAGCTATGGTTTAACTCTTTCACTCCGCAAGCCACTGGTAGCGGCTTTCGAGTATGCTTTACAATTTACCATGTTTTGTACATAAATTTCCATTCTAGACACATAGAATTTGTTTGTTCTAAAGGTTTAACTAATACATAATCAAGAAAATTATAAAAAAGTTATCATAAAGTTAAAAAATCTTGAATAATCCTTCATAAAAATTTTAATTTAGTTATAAAATAAAACAGTGTTAACACTGTAAAACTTGTAGAAGTGTTAAGTATTTAGTTAAGTAATTACCAAAGTATTTTGAAGAAAAAATATTATTTTTATTCATTAAATGAGGTTTGTTTCGAACTTAATGTTTTAGTTACTACTAAAAACAATAGTTTTAAGCACTTTGCATTTCTTATTGTTTAACGATGCATGTTAAAAACTGTTATTCAAAAAAATGGATCAGATTTTGTTCAAAAACGTTGTTTTTTGGACCACTCTATTATACGCTTTAGTAAAACTATTCTTTTAGTATCTAGTTTATATTTAGTTTAAACTAGTACATTTTACTGTAAAAATTGGTTATATATTGAATTTTTATTTTTAGAAATTTTATAAATTTAATTTTTTAATTGCATCATAAACTTTTTTTGGGGATTTAGTAAAAAGTTATACAATTAACATAATTTGATGATTGTGGCAAAAAAACCTTGAAAGAAAAAAATTTATACAATGACCTCATATACCGAAACTGTTATGAATCAAACACGCATGGAATAAATCTGGAGATTGCGGCTAACATTATACTCCGAGAACTTGAATGGATTTTAAATTTAATGGTGCGCATTCAATATATAGTTTTACTGAAAAAAATTTAGCCCAAATGTTTTTTTTAAACATTTTCTTTAATATGAACACAGCTTGTCTCAGCAATTGGAGACCCCTTTAATATTCCAACTGATCACAGGAAGAAAATACAAATTTCACATGAAGACAATACAAAATTAGTAAAATTGATTACCAAAGCATTGATGGGCACAGATGGGCAATAAGAAAGATCAACTTATTTTAATTTTTCTTATTACAATTTACAATTATTTCTATGGTTTTAAAATTTAATTATTTCTATGGTTTATTTTTGTAACTTTGATACTTTTTGGGTATAGTATTATAAAACTTTAAATGCAAATAAAAAAAAACTTTTGGATTGATTTGCATAAAAATATACATTAGGGTGTCCCAAAAAAAAAAAAAAAAGACTATACCCTACAATTTTTAATTTCGTCTGTAGAAAAAGAAAATACCCATATCTTATGGTTCATTTAGTCAACAATTGCAAGATGTATATTTTGAAAATTTGGATATAATTTTTTCCGTATTTTTTTTACTTTCACTTTTGTAATAATTGTTATGAAAAAATCATAGTTGTTAAAACCATAAAGAAAGATTTATTAGATAAGTTATAATTTTTTTTGATAGATTTACTTGTTAAATAATTTTAACAAGTAGAAATGTTTAACTTCTTAATTATCCAAAAAAAAAACTGCCAACAAACCAACTGCCTTCTGTGGGAAATGTGTTGAAATATTACCTATTTTTAAACTCTGGAAAAAGCTGCAGATTCAGATCATCAAAGTTTCATATTGTGTGTCCACAAAAATGCCTAAGAGATATATTCGGAAAGGAGCTCAAATAAGGTAATTAGTAACCTAAAAAATAATAAATATTTTTTCAGTTTGTACTCATTTTTTGTTAGCTTCATTGTAATTGTTACCGATAAAATAACTTTTTTTGTCTTACTTAGGGACAAATTAAAGAAGTTCATTAAAAAATTCACTAAAATGCTAAAAATGAAATCACTTGCGCTTAAAGATAAAACAAAACATTCTAAAAGTTCAAATTTAAGTAACCTTTTGAATATTTCAAAAAATGGATTTTAGGCAGAAAATAAGAGCAGCAAAATAATGATCTAGAATGATCTAAACACTGACCGGTCCCTAATATTTTGAAAAAAAAAATCTAGAAGTAGTTGAAAATGACTTCTTTAAAGACCAAATGAAGGAAAGATAAATTTTCATTAAGAAAATAGATAATGCAGCTTACAGAGCTAGAACTGAAAAGAGGAGACTCAGATTTCAAACTATAGAAAAACAAAAACAAAAAAAGATTCACAGAGTTCAAGGAAGCCAGTAGTATATCAATGCGTAGTGAAATATTTAGATAGATTTGAAACAGCTGACTGCAAATTTGGCTCTTCAACAAATGATGAATTTGACGAAAAACTTATGAAGAAAAAAAAGGAAATTGTGAACTATTATGTTATTAAAAATAATTTTTATTTAAATCAAGTATTTATTTCCAGAACAACTATATTATTAATAGAGCCATATAATTGATTTACTAAAAGGTAAAAGACTAGTTCTACATTTTGATACTAAACTAGTTAAAAAAATTTCAGAAGACCTTCAAATATCTGTTGTTTATGACAGATTGGCTGTGAACCTTAGTTCTCCAGATGCTCTAGATTGCAACAATATATTGCTTGGGATTGTCCAATTAAAAAACGATACTGAAGCATGCCAGGCAATTGAATTAATAAAATTATTAGAATATTACGAGTGTGTTAATCTACTTGCTTCTGGGATACAACCAGTAGTAACACGGGGAAATATGCTGGAGCAATTCAATTGCTGAACGTAAAACCTAACCTCCCTTTAATATGGCTATTATGTAGGCATCGCATATTTGAGCTGCCTATGTCTTACTTTATGGAAGAATTCACAGGAAAGACAAAAGGTCTTCATAGAGCATTTAAGGTCTTCATAGAGCATTTATATTTAAAGTTAAAAAAAAGTGGAACGATTTTTGTACAGAAGTGAACACTCTATATAATATTGTAAAAATGAGTTGGGATAACCTTGAAGTTAATTCAGGGTTGTACACTCTTGCAAATGATATCCTTGCTTACTGTTCAAAAGCTCTGCTCAAAAATACTTTTGCAAAAGGTGATTATAGAAACCTTTGCCAGCTTGTTGTTTTTTTCTTGGTGGAAATGTAACTAATTTTAAAATGTGCCTCATGACTAGACCCAAGTAAATGGAATTTACTTGGGGCACATTTTATGGCAGATGGACTTTACCTCCTTACATTAAAAATGACAAAAAATGTTGTTAAAATGGAGTAAAATCTTAGGATAATACTGAAAGTCTTCGTAAGTTCTGCTTATTTGTTAAATATCTCCCTACTACTAACGACTACACAGAAAAATACATAAAGCTTATACAAGATTTTGTGAAGGCACCTACAAATGATGACCAAAAGCAAAATATAATGTTTGTTACAAAAGATCATAGAAAAAAAATTACAAGCCAAAATGCTAAAAGATCAACTCACAAAACCATATACTTTATAACCGTTTTCCTATGCATTTAATTTAATGAAAAAAGGTTTTTAACATTGTGATAAACTTTTTCTTTCTGGAATGGTTATTTATTTAATTATTTAATTCTGCGAAATAAATTTGTAAGTTGGGTTTTTTTATATTTATTGAATGAAAAATGTCTCAGTAATATGCGTGTAAAACCGTAAAAAAATATGAATCTCTCTGAATTTATAATTACACATCTAGCAAAGTTGCTAACTTTGGATTAAAATTTTTTACATATTTTATCTTTATAGATCAAATCAAATAGTTTGGAAGGTATAGTCTCTTGATTTTCAAATTTTTATCATTTTATGGGACACCCTAATATACATATATAATATTGCATACTTAGGTGAGCAGTGTGATGCCATACAGAAATAGGGGGCTGCTGGGGGCTTAAGTACATACATCGACTGACTAAATAGGGAAAATCTATATATGCTATAGTAGAGATATTATATGTATGTGTGTGTGTATATATATATATATATATATATATATATATATATATATATATATATATATATATATATATATATATATATATATATATATATATATATATGTATATATATATATATATATATATATGTGTGTGTGTGTGTGTGTATACATGTATGTGTATATATATATGTGTGTGTGTGTGTGTGTGTGTGTGTGTGTGTGTGTGTGTGTGTGTGTGTGTGTGTGTGTGTGTGTGTGTGTGTGTGTGTGTGTGTGTGTGTGTGTGTGTGTGTATATATATATATATATATATATATATATATATATATATTATAGCCTTGGAAATACTATAACAAGTATTAAATAAAATATAAGACTTTGTAAACGTAATACAAACTAAATATACCTCAAATTAAATACAAAGCATTTTCGAATGTATAACTGTTCTCTTTTGGTATGTAAAGCTAAACAAAACACGTTTTATATAATATATTTTTATTATTATATAAATTATATAATATATTAATATCCCGTTATATTACAGTGGAGAATAAATGACAACAAATCTACTTGATTGAAAAATGCAATTTAAATGTCCCTAAAAATGATGCGCAATATTCAAAAAACAATAAAAAATACAGGATTTGGTTGCAGTTGTAGCAGGAAGGGGTAATAACGGCCTAGAATATTGAAATGCGCTTTACACCTCTAAAAAATCACCTAACAACGCAGCATTCTTTCATCTGTTTCCGCACAGTTTATATGAATAAATATAGAATTAAAATAACTGACATGACAAGAATGAAAGGAATTGTTTTTTTCAACACTTCTCAACCTAACTTTCGCCCAAGAAAGTTTCACGAGAAATTTGTCGTTTTCACGATTTCGTTTATTATTTACTCTCGATGAGTCAGCTATACATCAAGCCGTCACTAATTTTATTATTTTGTCTATAAAATTTAGTAATATGTTAAATTCATTAAATTGTTAGGTTTTCACCTACAATACAAAATTTTTATTGACTTAATTGATTGATTATTGATTCTTTTAACTTTTGTTGACTTTATTTGTTGATCGAGATAAACTAAGTATTAGTAGCAGCTAGTTAGTGGAATTTTACCAATTCAATGATATGGAAAAGTTCAATGATATGACAAAGTTCCAATGGTATGGCAAGTTCAAACAGAATTTAATCATTTAAAAAAAGTTGGAGTTCGCTATTTTTGTTATTAGATTTGAGAAAAATATTTTATAAAATATTTTTGTTATTATTTAAAACTTGCAATCGAACAATAACATTGTACACAAAAGTGTTGTGCTAGCTTAACGCTTCTGGCAATTTTTTGACGTTGGCTGAACGTAGTGTGGTCTAATACACTATTAACCATAGACACATTGAGGGGGACACGCTAGGGAGCACACAATCCTGGGATCCATGATAGTGTGTTAGGGACACACATGTAACGCAACCTCTTTTTTTTCTTTTTTTTCATTTGTTTTTTTTCATTTGAGTTTTCATGCTATATTTTTCTATACAATGTTCTTATATCCGAAGATATTGTTGGCTTAGCATAGGAACAGCCACAAATAGTCATCAAGACTAATCCAAAGTAGCGTCCGTTATTGACCGACATTTTTGCGTACCGAAGTACTATTTAAGCGCTGAGTTGGCGGTGGCGGGATTTAAACTCGTATCGTTTAACAGTCGGGGATTTCACTTTTCCTTTAACGCTCTAACCATCTGAGCTATCCCGCCACTTATAAATATATATTTTGCTGTTTATATATTAAAAAAAGTAAATTAAAAATAAACATTTACTAAAAACGAAGATTTAAAAATAGGCAGTGGTCAGACAAACTCACATCTTCGTTAACTATAAAAAATATTGTTGTATTTTTGTTCTTAGTTTGCTATTTCATATTCAGTAAACTATTTGTTTTTGGCTGTTTTATTGGTTCGTTCTTTAAAAACACAATTCGTTTACTTTTTTTTTGATAAATTTGTTTATATAAAGTTTTGGAGCTTTTTTCAAACTGTTTCTTTAATTATACATAAAAGTTAAGTGTTGATCAATATTGATTTCATATATATTCGTCATTTGCATGCATCTTACTAATGACTTCAATGTTTATATTTGTTTTTCTCATACTTAAGTTTACACGCACATTTTTTTATATTTTTTAAATTACATTTTAAGTCTTTACGTGTAAGAGAGCTGAGAAGGTTTTACGTGTAAGAGAGCTGAGAAGGTATTACGTGTAAGAAGGTATTACGTGTAAGAGAGCTGTTTTACGTGTTTACGAGAGCTGTGTAAGTGAGTTGTTTTTGGTGAGATTAGGTTCAAAAGGCTTTTAAATATTTTTCAAGTGAATTTCTGTTATTTTATTATGATTTCTATGGTTTTTAAGGAAACAAGTAAAAAAAAATTTAATTATTTACTTTCTTTATACGTTTTTTCTTTTAGGAAGTAAATTGTTTTAACTATTAACTTTCTTTGTCTTTAAAAAGAACGTTAAAAACCTGTGTATGCTTACAACGCACTATGCCTCGTTGTGGTGATAAAGTGGCAAATACTCACAATTTTAAATTATGAATTATTAGAAGAAAATTTTGTTGTTTAAAACATATATATTAGTGATTGAGTCTTTTCATTGAATTAAGAGTTAAGTAAGGCTTTCAATGTAATAATAAAAATAATAACAAAGGTGAAATTCCGAGAATTTTATGACACTTTTATTTACATTTCAATATAATGCTAAGATGGCACTAAAACATTAAAATAATAAAAATAAAAACGATTTTAGGGGGATCATATTTCTAATGTAACACCAAAAAAAAAAAGTTAATGTAATGTGCAATGGTGATAAACATTATACTTTTAATATTGAGTTGTAAAAAAACAGAGTGGCTATGTAAACAATATAATTAATTATAAATTAACAAGAGAATTCCATATCTTAATAATTTTTGGGCAGAAAATAAATCTCCGTATGTTGTATTACATTTGTTACGTGGTATTTGTTTTAAGGCAAGCATCTTGTAGAGTAGTAAAATGGCGAAAATGTAAAAATGTGAAAAAAGTAGATCAACAAGGTTGTGAATAATTTTGTATGTTTTTTATTGTAAGGTCTAATTTTATTCTATTGCATTTTAGAGATTCAAGATTAAAGGTGTTAAATCTTGAGGAACAATCTTTATAAGGAATAAGATATCTTTTACAGACAACACTAGTAAATTATTTCTGAACCTTTACTATCTGACGTACGTCTTAAAAGTAGGGATTTAACACTGAGGTACAAGGTTCTAATATAGGTCCTAAAATTAGTTGGCTTTCATCAAAAGTTGGAATTGCTACTGATAAAAGATATTAAGTATGTACAAGAATGTGATTTGTCTGCAATAAAAAAACAGTGATTTGAAAACTTCAAATCCTAAGACATAATTATACCGATATCCTGAATAGATATAATGGATTCAATAGCTGAATTAATGTTCGTTAAGTATAAATGTAATGCTATAGGATTGTTTCCATAGCGTAGATAAAACTTTTTTTTAGGTTGCTATTTTAAGTTGCAAAATATTTAACCATTCTGAAAAATTGTTTAAGGTACTAACAAGGTGTTGATTCCATCGTCTTTTGCTTGATACAGCTTTCTGTCAAATTCATCACTGATACACGAGTTTTCATCGTTTATAAAAACTAAAAATAAGATAGGGTCTAAGACAGTTCTTTGAGGTATTCCACTCAAGAACTTTGTTTGAATATAAGTTACAACACAAAAAACATTCAGAACGATTAGTTAAAAGGCTTGTAATCCAGTTTAGTAATTCGTACTTGATACCGTAGAAATGCAGTTTTAACAGTAACTTAGAGTGAGTTACAGAATCAAAGGCTTTTTCTATATATACGATATATCTAAATATAAAGCCTATATATAAAATACCAACAATTTTTTTTTTTGTTATTGGCACCAGTAGTCCACTCGTTTCAGGCTACCAGCATCTTTTTACAGGTGGATCTACACTTTAAAAAGACGCATTGATGAACAAAAATTAATTTATTAATTAGTAATTGTTTTGTAAAGGATTACGCAATGATTGACTCTATGACTTTAAAAGCAATTCACGTCATTAAAATAGGTCTATAGTTTTTGGTTAAAGATGGGTTTCCTGTTTTAAAAATGGGTCATAGTATAGCGATACCCAGTATGATATTTTTTGACATTGACAATTCAAACAGTACGGAAAGAGGAATAGCTATGGCATTTGCAATTGAATTTAAAATTTTAAAATAGAGTAGCGGTGCAACAGAACCACAGCACCTTTTTTATTTAAATTCTTAAAACGGTGGTTGAGATTTTAAATAATGCTTTTTATATTTTAAAGTGCATAAATTAAGTGATTTGTTTTTAAGAAGTATAAGTTAATTAATGATTGTTGAAAAAATAATAAAAATATTTTCTTTCCGAAATACAGTTTCTTTTCCTTGATATCAACTTTTTTCGGATATTCAAATGAGTAATGCATCAGAATAGCTTAGATTCTAAAATTTTAATTTAATTTTTTTACGCGTGTTGTCAAACGTTACGGTGAAAACGTTACGTGAAAATTTCCATGCGCACATTGTACCCGTTAAATAGATCGATCGTAAATGACATTTTGTCAAAACCTGTACCAAAAACATATTCTTATTGTTCATAACCGGAACCCAAACTGAACATAAACTGAAATCAGAACAAGAACCGAAATTAATAATAAATATAGTTTTTTAAAGTTAGTTATAAATTAAACAAAATATTAAACAATTAAAAGAACTAATAACGGAACCCAACAAATGTAAGATTTTCGCGACAAAAAAAAGTTTTTCCAAATTTTCTGCATAGATTTTGTTTCTTTCGTTTGACAGAATACATCCAGCTGTAAAAAACAGCATTTCGACATCTGTGGATGTTGGAAGTGGTGGGTATTTTTTGTCACCTTAGTCAACTAGATTTTAGAATTTGTATTTTCTTTAAAGCTTTTCCTAAATTCAAGACATTGAAAAGCCATCAAATAATCCAAAAACCTATTCAACGCTTCAAAAATTGGCTTAAAAATGGTGACGTTTTTGATGGATGGCCCTTTACAGCTTACTTACATCAAAAAACTATATTTTCAACATATAACATTTTTACTTACGATTTTTGTCAAAATTTGTTGCCATTTTTTGATCATTTTGTGGCATAGTGCGACGTAGAAATCAAGGGAGGGGTTAGGGAGGGCCTCGCAAATTTTGGCCCCCCCTCTAATTTTTTTTTTATAGTCATTTTTAGGTTCTGGCCCATAAAAAAAGACCTCCAAAAACAAAAATAGCCCCGGGTCCCAAAAAGTCTTAATCCGCCACTGGAACAAGGGATCGTCCATAAAATACGCAACACAAAATATATTTAAAAAACAGAAGTTGAAGATATTAGGTTCTTTTACGCGACGATTGTCATTGACTAATTTAATTTTTTATTTAAATTAAGACTCTGCGAGGGAAAACTTTTGAATTTTGTTATATCTCTTTGTTGTTTTGATTATTGTGAAAGTTTGCGTTTCGCAATTTATTGACGATCAAGCAATGGAACTTATGAAAAAAAATTTTTTTCTGTACTTAAATCATTTTTAACTAAATATAAAATCAACTAAACAATCTGGTCAGGAATTAAAACTTGACTCTTTTATGCCCAGCTTATATTTTCGTTCTTTTAATTAACAGTGTTATAAATAAATGTTTTTAAAATTTGCAAATATTTAAATTAAATAAAATTGAAAATCTAAAAAGTTGCATAATTAACAAGAAATTTAATAGGTTATTTGATTGTTATACAATTGTTTATTT